TGCCTTTCGGATAGGACATTTCGAATTTGCACTGTCGTTTTGTACAGGCCGAACTTCGGAGCTAAACTGAAAACCGGTTCTGCTCGATGCCAGCGCCAACGGACCCAACGGTTTCGACTAAACGTAACAATAGAAATAAAAGCCATCTACCAGGGGTGCGTTCCAAAACCTACAGTAAAACTATAATTACATCTCTATACGTTTTGGATCGCAGCCCTGAAAGGTAAAATCCCCGCTCCGGGTGAGTATACCTGCTGCGTGCTATTAGAGCCTCGACGCTGCTCAAGAGATTTGTTGCGCTCGGAGGCCATAACTTCCGAACGGCTGCGAATTTCGATTTAAAACGTTGGGAACATATTCTTACAATGTTAAATAAACATTTTATGCAAAAAAAAAATTCGATTTTTTGAAAGTTCTAATTGGATTTCCCCCCTTAAGCGATTCGCGAATTGTGCTAGAGGTAAAGCCGGTTTTCTCAAATATTTTGTAAACATTGACATATTACTCTCGTACGGAAAAGCAGAAAATGAATCTAAGGTACCAAGACGTTTAACATCGCTAACAAAGTGTAGAAGACCATGAACATTGTATGAATTAAATGTCGGGCCATATAAATGTTTACTTCGAATAACGAATTTTTGTAATGCAAGTTCCGCAAAATTTAATAGTTTTTCTGATGGTGAATTGGATACTAAAATTCTTATTGCTGTATGCAAAAACAAAAAATGCTTATACAAGCGTTCATCAAGTATATCGCGCATTACAACCGGCCCTGTATATAGCAAAAATTGACGGTATTCTGTCGCTTTAAATTTAGAACATGCATCTAGAGGTCTTGGACGTCTTGCAAATTCGGAAGGACAATAATCGCGAAGATTATTCAACCTTGCAGAAACTATGGAGATACTTCTACTTGTTAATTTCGAAAATCGAGTGTAATTTCCATGTACCCAAGCACATAACAGTTTCTTCGTTACGCCCAAACAAACGAGGTGCATATATTCAAGGGTACACGCGATACCATGTGACACCATACCTAGTGACAACTTTGCTAATGGGCTTATACCTTTATGATGATCCTCGTCAACACACCGAGCATAATCTTCATCCGTACGAAGAGGATCATTTACAGTATGGAAAACGTAACGCCCTTCACAACGAATACCATTAATCTTACATTTAGAACATGGTTGACTGTACATATGACTGCGATGATTTAAAATAAACGCTCGCGCTGGTGCATCTGCTATAAAGCACCTTAACCGTACTGGGATCTTTCTCTCATTAAAATCTATACCTCCAACGAATATTATAGCTATGATATCTGCAACTAATTTTTCAAAAAAAATGTTTGGATCCTTAGGCTTGTGTGCACCCTGATAAATACCTACAACTATTGGTTTTGTGCCTTATACGTTAATAATTCTGCATTGGATAGGCCAAATATGAACACTGCCACTTTTGTCTAAGTTACAACCATCAGTATTTATATCTAGTTCCAATTCATTAATTGTATCTGCAGATGAAATATTGGAAATACTTTGAATCAAAGATGTCGCAAGATCAAAATGTACATATTCCCCCGGCGGTACATTGAACACAATAACACGTCTACGTGGTGTACCTATTAACGTTCTAACATCT